TTGCTGCATTGGATAACTTCCTCCTGACCGTGATGGCCTATGACCGGTTTGTGGCCATCTGCCACCCGCTGCACTACACGGTCATCATGAACCCCCGGCTCTGTGGGCTGCTCGTTCTGCTGTCCTGGATCATCAGTGCCCTGCATTCCTTGCTGCAATGCTTGATGGTGTTGCGACTGTCCTTCTGCTCAGACTTGGAAATCCCCCACTTCTTCTGTGAACTCAATCAGATGACTCAACTTGCCCATTCAGAGAACTTTCTTAACGGCTTAGTGATATATCTGGCAACTGGGCTGCTGGGTGGTGGTCCCTTGGCTGGGATCCTTTACTCTTACTCTAAGATAGTGTCCTCCATACGTGCAATCCCATCAGCTCAGGGGAAGTATAAGGCGTTTTCCACCTGTGCGTCTCACCTCTCCGTTGTCTCCTTATTTTACGGTACGAGCCTAGGCGTGTACCTCAGCTCTGCCGCCACGCACAGCTCACAGTCAAGTGCAGTCGCCTCCGTGATGTACGCCGTGGTCACACCCATGCTCAACCCCTTCATCTACAGCCTCAGGAACGGAGACATAAAGGGGGCTCTCAAAAGATTCGCTGTGGTGGCAGGTAAACAAGGGACGATCATCCTGAGGCCAAAAAAGTATCCTTGCTTTCTTGGCCCCAAGAATCAAAACCAGAAATTGTGATTCTTTAATTAGGTTTTGGGTTTTTGAACTTGCTTCTCTTATTTCTGTCCTGGAATTTACTTTGTTTGTTTCAACTTCTCTATGCAATTTAAGTCACCATTTCATTAAGCTTTCTACTTTGCCTACTAAATAGACAGTTTTTCTTTTTTCCCTTTTTCCTAAAATCAAAAAAAGTTTTCCAACTTTGATAAGATATATTTGGACGTTTTTATGTATTTCTGTGGCAACACTGATGTCTTTAGAATAATTTCATCTTGTGCAGTACACTGGGTGTGGCAGAAGTGAGGCCTGTTTGAGAGTGGCTGGTAGGGCATGTGAATGTCTCACACGAGACAGACAGCAATCTCAACATTTCCCCTAAAATGTCATATAGTGTGTTTGAGTGTGATATTGTTTTCTTACAGGATTACATGCTTATGATTTTGTAATAAAAGATTTTGTAACAAAATATAGAACGTTATTTCTGTGGGCCCCTGTATATCATTTTAAGTAATTTGTTCTTCTTTTGTACATAGAACAGTAATAAGTGGTATGACTATTGTGGAAACATTTCACTTGGCTAAGTCCTTTAGATAATTTCATTCCACAACAATCAAACCTCGCTTTTTCCTATGTGTCCTCATCCTTTGCACATCAGTACCTCGGGGAGTGTTCCTAATGACGTAGATTGATCGCCGTGCCCTGTGAGTCTCCTCCTGTTGACAGTGACGCTACAGGGTAGGAACCCTGGGCACCGGCCCTGGGTCCTGCTACTCTTCCTCAGACCGGTCACTGTTGTGGCGGGATGACCTCCTGTGGTCCTTGTTATAATTGCAACAACCATCACGCAAACTATGAAAACGTAAGGCTTATTACGCTCAGGACCAGCAACACGAAAGCCACAAAGGAGGGGTGTGTGTGTGTGTGTGTGTGCCTGTGAGTGTGTCCCTCTGTGTGTGAAGACAGAGAGAGAGAGAGAATGGACTTGGCCTGAAGGGCCCCGCCTGTCCTGGTTCCAAGAGCAGGACGGTAGGTTCTCCTTTCACTGGCCAATTCAAAAAATAAGAGAGGGACTTAGGGCAGGAAAATGCAGGGCAGGGTCACCCATGTGGTCAGTTGGAAGTTACTCAGGGCTCTCTAAGAGGGGAAGGTTAGAACAATTAATTCTTGTATAAAAAGTGGGAAAATCATGTCTGTTCCTGTGTGTAATTCCACATGAACTTTGTTCCCGGATCGATCCCTTTGATCTTATCCAGATGGCTTCTAATTAAAAATACAAGTGCTTATCTTTCAAGGTCCAAAACAGAGCTAATAGCTTTATTTAAAAACAGAAAGGCCACTCCATGGTCGGGGGCAACACCGGCGCTTACGCCGCAGCCGGGTCCCGCATCTGGCACCCTGATGACCTGAGGTGGACGGCTTTGAAAACAAGGCTCAGTCAGGTACTTACGCTACACACATGCTACTGCGCTTTACACCTAATTGCCAGGTTTTCTTGTCCTCTTCAGCTGCGGGGGCCAGAATATCTACCATCGTCCCTGGCAAAAGTTGATTATCAAATATACGTCTCCTAGTAGAGTTTATTTGAAACTTATGTGACAGGTCTCCAAGACAGAAAGAGAAAATGAAGTGTACGTGACATTCTGGCCTAAGGATGAGGGAAGGCACCTGGGGCTTCAGGAGGGAGGAAGGACATTGCAGGACAATGAGAAGAGCAGATGTTCAGCAATGAGAAATTGGGCCTGCCCTTTGCAAATGTCATAAGAAGTTATCTCTGATAATAACTGATTCTGGGCAAGACCCCCAATTTAAATTCTTTACAAGAGAGCTGTAAGTTCCTCTTGGACCCTCCAGGGTCTCTATTGCATTCAGTTACAAAATAATCCACATACATCTTTTGGGGTGACTCATTCTAGACCCTTACCATAGTGACCCAGTGTCATTCTTTTCCATGTGGCTGTCCAGTCTTCTCAGCACCATTTATTGAAGAGACTGTCCTTTCCCCCATTGTATACTCATGCCTCCTTTCCCTGATTTCATGACCTGATCGGCGTGGGTTTGCTTATGGGCTCTCTATTCCCTTCCATTGTTGTGTATCTGTTTCTACGCCTGTACCATACGGCTTTAATTACTATAGCTTTGTAATATACTTTCAAATCAGGGGATGTGTTACCCTCAGCTCTGGTTTACCTTCCAAGATATTTTGGCCACTGAGGGTGTTTTGTGACTTCATGTAAATTTTAGGATTCCTTATTCTATTTCTGTGAAAAATGACATTGGAATTTGATAGAGATTGAATTAGATCTGTTGATCACTTTGGGTATGTTTACAAAAAATTCAACCTATTAATTCTGAAGATCGAATTGGCGTTATTAAGTGGGTCATGGATCAGGTAGCAACCTATCTAATGACACAGAGAAAGGTCAGAGGGCATGTACAGAGCTGAGAGTTTTTGTAAGCAAATGGGTGGGGCAAGAAAGCTACTAACAACAAAAAGTAAAGAATTATTTTGGGACCATGACATCTCTCCTTTGGAGAAGAGAAGGAGAAGGATTACTATCTTACAAATTCCCTCTTCTTTCTATGAGCAAGTGTGAAGGGCCCACGTGACAGTAGATTTCACTACTTGTCTGAATCATTAAATCCAGAGTAGTTGATTAACAAAAAGTTTCCGGGAAATGCTGACACTTCCATTAGATGCAGTATCAAATCGAGACTGGTCATCATGGCTTTTACTGGAATGATGTCATTTAGGACCTGTGGTTTTCCCTTTAACAGTAATATGGACATTTAACAAAATTAATTTTTCCAAGCCATAAACAAAGAATATCTTACTTTCTAACTGTGCCTGTATTAATATCTTCCAGCAATGTTTTATAGTTTATTTCCAGATATTTTAATCTTTTTGATACAATTGGAAATGAAACTGTTTTCTTAATTTTGGACTGTTCATTATTTCGTGTATTGACATAATAGATTTCTGTGTATTGATTTTGTATTCTACATCTTTACTAAGCTTGTTTATTAATTTGAACAGATTTTAAAAAATAGTTTGTTGCAGGGTAACAAAATAAACAGGGCATATTAAAACAGCAACATTTGCTGACTTAAAGGAGTCATACAAAAGTTAAGAGTACGTACTCACAGGTTCATTTAGATAGAATTCAGGAAGAGGCAGAAACACTTTAATTGCTCTGTTATATAATTAAAAAAATGTAAACACCTCAATCTTGTTTTCCTATCATTGATGGTGTTACGGAATAATAAACCTAATACCAGTGGACATTGGCAGATATGAATATGACGTTTTGAATGGAAGTCCCACGACTGCAGAACTAAAGAAGAAACAACAGCGAGACTGTAGGGAGGGGCAGAGACACGGAACAGGCCGGTCCCACACCCACACGGAGCCGATGTAAATCACGAGGGTAGTGGCTGAGGAGTGAGGGTGTCCAGCCCCACACCATGCCCCCAGCCCAGCGGACCAGTGTTGGGGGGAAGTCCCCGTAATGTCTGGCTATAACAAACGGCAGGGATCGAGGCTGAGGAAGGTGAAAACACCTGGAGCCCCAGGCTGCTCCTCTTGAAGCACCCGAGCGGGGACTTACTCAGACTCACTCTCCCTGAGCTCCAGCGCAAGCTCAGCAGCTTGAAGGCATCAGAGAGAGACACAGGGAGGAGCTGCATTGTTTGGCCTCCGGGTGAGAGCTGCAGGGGCAGCTTTCTCCCAGACAAGAGCGCGCCGAGGCCTCTGCGCCACTGTTGGGCCCTCGCCCCGCAGAGCCAGCAAGTTGGTGACGTACCTGAGACTCCTTCAACCCGACTCGCACTCTGGTCCGACCCGAGGGATTCCCTCAAACGCTACCCCACTGAACGCTCGGGCCCTCCCAAGCCGTTTCCAGGGGGCTTCCATACAAAAGGCTTATCCTGTCTCATGCTTCAGATTTCCCTAAATTCTCTCAAAGAAGCTGTATCTGATCTTACCCAGCCCAGTACCACTGGCTACGTGGCTCCAGGCCCAGCACTGCAAGAGCCGGACTCGGTACACACTTGGCCTCACCTAAGCACCTGTCAGCCCAGCTCAGATAGACGCGACTGCAGGGAGCTTTTGTCAGATGTCCCTGGGCAGCAACAGAGCGTGGCTGGCCTTGGCCCGCACCTCATGGGAGGTCCCCGAGCCAGCACACCCAGTGGACAGCTTCAGACCACAGCAGAGCACCACCACCCAGCCACCCCCACAAGGGACACACTCAAGGGGAAAACGCAGCAGGCACCCGAGCCCTGCTGAAGCAAGGCCTGCTCTGTGCAGCGAGCTCCTGCACAGCTGATCCTCCACGCTGACTGCAGGAAGGTAGTCAGCGGGCACAGCCAGCCCCTGCTACTCATCGGCCTTGTTGAATCCCTCCCATAGACGAGCTAACAGCAACTGAGGCTCCACTCCAAGTGTAGTATGTACACAGCCCATGTCGTACGCACACGTTAAGTACCCATATTGGGTGAGAGGGAACGCTGTGCCAATGGACCCCTTCAGACGCCTGCTACATGAGGCCACTCTACTGAGCCTGAGAGACACAGCAGCTCTGTCTCATACATAGTAACAAACACACGGAGGCTGCCAACAGGAGGAGAGAAAGAAAACCGCCCAGAAGAGAAACAGAAAAAAATCTCTATAAAAACAAACAAATGGAGACAAGCAATCTATTAGATGCACAGTTCAAAACAGTGGTTATATGGATGTTCAGTAAACTTAGTGAGGGCTCAACAGCATCAAAAAAGATCCAGTCAGAAATAAAGGATACAATAATTGAAATAAAGAGTGATTTACAGGATATAAACAGTAGAGTAGCTGAAGCTGAGAATAAAAACGACGATGTGAAATACAACAAAAAATGTTTACCCAATCAAAACAGCAAGAAAAAAAGAATCTAAAAACTGAGAATAGAATAAGGAACCGCAAGGGAAACAGGCAGACCATCATTCACATCATGGGGGTGCCATAAGGAGAAGAGAGGGAGCAAGAA